TATGAAATACGTAATTTTACTTTGAAGAAATAGTATAGAAGTATAATAGAACCTGGGAATAAATCAGTTATTATCCGGACATCAATCCCCGAATAAATACATTATCCGATCACCGGATCTGCTTGGTTATTGCCTAATTCGTAAACAATAACATACCGATATACCGTATTTATTTGATCGACTAGTTTATTGCCTAATTCGTAGAATAACTGTACTTTATTTGATTTATCGATAAATACGTGTACCTCTAATTAGTTCAATTATCCAAATTGTAAAGTCTCTCTTTTATTGTTGAAAAATGTCATTTTTTAACAACATTCAAAATTTTGCAAATAATGTTGGACAATTTGTCGCTAACAATCAAGAAATACAAAAAGCGGTTGGAGGCGTTCAACACATTACGAATAATGTAGGAGAATTCGTTGCTAACAACCAAGAAATACAAAAGGCGGTTGGAAGCGTTCAACACATTACGAATAATGTAGGAGAATTTGTTGCTAACAATCAAGAAATACAAAAAGCAGTTGAAGGTGTTCAGCATCTTACGAATAATGTTGGGCAATTTGTTGTTAATAATCAAGAAATACAAAAGGCAGTTGAAGGAGTTCAACATCTTACGAATGATGTGGGACAATTCGTTGTTAACAATCAAGAAATAAAAAAAGCAGTAGAAGGAGTTCAACATTTTACAAATAACGTAGGGCAATTTGTTACTAATCAAGATATACCAAGAGTAATTGAAGATGTTCAACAATTTACAAATAATGTGGGGCAATTTGTTGTTAATAATCAACCAAAATTAGATATACCAAAAGTAATTGAGGACGTTCAACATTTCACAAATAATGCGAAGCAATTTGCTATTAATAATTGGTCAACATTAGATGTACCAAAGGTAATTGACGACGCTCAACACTTTGCAAATAATGTTGGGCAATATGTTGCTCACAATCAAAATGTACAAAAAACAGTTGAAGGCGTTCAACATTTTACAAATAATGTGGAACAATTTGTTGCAAATCTTCAGCTAAAATCAAATATGTCAAAAGCGATCGATAATTTTCAACATGCTGCCAGTAGTGTGATACAAGCAAATAATATATCAAAATCCGATATTATAAAATGTACTGCATCTACTGCTATAGGTTTCGTGCTGCAAAATATTATAGTATTAAGTCCATTTGGTGTTTTGTTATCTATCGGACTTAATTTATTAATATATAGAATATCAATTGATGCTTTAGAAACAACTGATGAAATTATTGTCGACGATCAAATGATTACAAACCAACAAACGTTGGATGAAATTAATGCCAACGATCAAGATTTAAAAAATCAACAAAAATCGGATGAAAATATTGTCAACGATCAAGATTTTGCATATAGCCAAAATTCGGATGAAATCATTGCCAACGATCAAGGTTTCTTAAACAAAACAAAACAATTTATTGTTGATTACCGGTCAGAAATAATAATAGCAACATCAACTACTATCTGTTACGTAGTACGTTCTCTGATTTGGTAGATCCATTAGATTTTGCTCCAACGCTATTTTAGGAATTACAATTTAGTGCATTAAATCTAAGAAATAAGGCTAAAAAATATGAATTAATATAGCATGTTATAAATTTTAGGCAATAGCTAAAATATTTTTTAGAATGATTTTATATTGATATGTTCTAAAGTGTAATCAATTTAGGGAGTTCCACAGTAATAACACAGTAATACATACGTATCTCTCCTTCATCAGCAAAATACTAAATAATATTTTTACTCGATAATAAAACTACGCTGAAAACTTAATACTTAATTACTATCACTATTTTATTTATTTGTTTCTAATCCCATAAATTACATTTCCGTGTAATATAACTTCAAGTTTGCACTGATACATTTTTTGCAATGAGATCAAAGTTGGAAAACTTGGTTATTTTGTGCTTTATTTTGATACCTACAACGCTCTCATATTAACAAATGACTCTTTAATTAAATCTTTTTCCAACAGACCTGTCTGAAAGTTTATTTAAGAAAGGTGAACGCTATGTTATAAAAGAAAACATTACTATTAGAATAAAAATTGAAAATGCTCCTTTAAATGACCATATAACAATGAATCAATATTCAGAGTGTTAAGGGTTGGCCGTTAGTTTGACTGTAATTTTTGAGACCATTTATTTGATCATTAAAATTTTTATTAAGAGTTTATCATGAATAAATATAAGTTCATATATATAAATGTACAACATTATACAAATTATACGTACCCCCGAAAGAACATATCGATTGGTATAAATCTTAATTACTAAAAAACATATTAATGTCGCATCTATTATATTTCTTTTCAAAGTCGTATAATTGTTAACTTAGTTAATAAATTGTTAATTAAAAATTAAACAAACATTAAAAAAGCTAGCAGCTTCAAGCCATGATAAGCTAGGATCCTTAGCATTGTTCTCTTTATATAATAAAGTCTATAAATAGTTATTCCCCGAACATCAGTGATATTGTCCCCAGAAAAATCTACAATAACATTAGGTGATTGAACTTCACCGCCAGAAAAGTGGAAAATAACATTATAAATTTCAGAAAAAAATGTAGTTAACAACGCACATTAGGATGCACAAATCCATTAGTTATGATTATGATATTATCATTATTCCATAGAATTGATAAAGTATTATTAAGCATTTTCTCTTCCTTAGATGTCAAAGCATAAGATACAGGTTTGAAATTCATTTTTCTCGAGATCCAATAAACTCACTAGCATTACTAAAGTGATCAACAGAAAGAAATGACAAATACAATTCGGATTATATATATTATAGTCGTCAGGACTAATTGTATTAAAATTATTTTCTATTTTTGAAATAGTAAAATTATTAATTATTATATCTGTTGGAAATTAGTTTTTGTTTTGTGAAAGTAATAATGAAGTCAAGAATAAGGGTACACCACCAGCATTATTTGATACATCTAAAATAAGCTGTCAAAAATCTCATTACGGCGTATTTGCAGAATTAAGGAAATTAAGCAGATATAGTAGGAAGATGGGTTAAATGTTATGATGCCATAGAACTGGGGTAAAAAAAAATTTTGGGATTTAGTTTTAAATTGATAAATAATAAATTTAGTAACCGAATATTTGGATTTGAGGACAAAATATGAAGCTACAAATGCACCATAATGTAAAAATATAAAGTATATAATTAGGGATGGATCGGTCCATCCCGGTCTCTAATAAGACCAGTTTATTAATGCTTTTTGGTCCGGTCCCGGTCCCAAAACCAGTCCCAGAATCGGTCCCAAAATCGGTCCAAAACCGGTCCCAGAACCAGTCTGAAATTTGAGTAACAACTCGTGATTAAAGCAATACGATTAATAATCAATTTATTGTTATTAGTTAAATCTTATCTTCGTTAGTGTTGTTTTCTTAGCATTCTCTCCCATACACTTTATTTTTCTATACTGTTTAAGTATAAATCCAGGATCAACGCTATTATAGTTGAAAGTTTTTTTATTTATAAGCTTCAATTTTGTAACAAGCAAAAATTATTTAGTAAAAAAAAATTTATTTCAAAACTGATGATATCTCAAATGCTTATTGTTTTAAGCAAATTTTAATCCTATAGAACTTAATATTCTTGAAAAGTTTATATTTTTCTTTAGCAAAAGAAATTTCAACCCAATTCTAAAGGTGGTAGATGTTATAACAAATTTGATTTAGACAAAAAAACCTTCTACCAGTGTTACAATTTCTGCAGATTTTTTATTTTTTTCTTGAAAGCATAATAATTTTTTTAAAGAATATTTTAACATACTTCTTTACAAATTCAACTTTTCAAACAAAGAATTGCTCTTGCTATCTCTCTATCCAGCTTATTTCTTTCATCTGTAATCATTTTACTACAATCGAAAAAGCTTGTTCTGAAGCAACACTTGTTGCTTGAATTTTTTTTTTTTTTAATAACAAGCAGTCATACCACAACTTTATTACTTAAATGTAGATGTTACAAACTTTTACATTTGAATTTACTACTACAGCTATGCTGCTTTGTACTAAAGTGAGATTTATCTGGTTTCTATTTGGACCTATGTGCGACATGCCAGAGCAGAAGCAACCTCCTTGCTTCTCTAAATCTACCTCAAATTTAGAATCCACAATTCATTGGCTGGGATCTACTAGCCCATCATGACTACCCATCTCTTCTTGAAAACTTTTCTTGCCTAGATCCAGGCAGAATAGTTTATCTCTTACTTTTTAATAAAAGAATACCATATGCCGAATTTACCAAAGAAAACCAAAATTTAGAAAAGAAAGAGATAAAAAGAAAAAAAAAAAGAAAACATATTAAGAACAGTATGTCCTAAATTTGATTCTATCGTAAAGAGAAAAAGATGGAAAAAGTACAAAAAGGGACAAGGTATCATGACATACATTTAAAAGAAGAAGATTACACTATTATAACCCATGCCAGGCTGGTAAAAATTGTATAACAACTGCAACTGTTGTATATTTCTAATATAATCTTTCCTTTCTGACTTAATATGCCTTAACATGCCTTAACAGATATCTTTTTAACCCAGGACCTGATCTTGTCATGTGGAGTAGCTCCGTATTTTCAAATAAACAAATATTTGGTTGCAATCTACCGAGTTCGTCTGAAAATGAAAAATAAACAATGCCAATCTTTTGGAGGAGGTAAGCCAAATCCCCCACTTTTTGAAAAAATTTTGAAAGGCTAGCAGGAAGGTGAAAATAAGTAAGAGAGGAGTCACTTGTCCAAAAAAAAAGAGTGTAGCTTGAGAATAGCAAGTTCTTCACTGTTCCCAAGTTGTTTTGCAACAGGTTGCTTTGTTGACGAAGAAACACTATAATCTCTACCAAAATTTCTTATACAAGGGCACACTTCTCCAGCCAGTTATCTTGTATACAGACACTTTCGGCTTGCATGTCAAATATATAAAAGAGTTACTATAAAAGTACAAAAGGTTGACCTTTATAAAAACCGCACTGTTGTCCACCTATTATAGGTCTTTTTTACTTCTCCAGTATCCAAACTTGACTTTTCTTTCGTGGGAAATTTTGGTCCAAGTGATTGTCAGAAAGAGTTCCCACTTGTTGCTTGAATTGACAAATAATCATAAGCAATAATACTTAGAATTGAGTTTGTGTTTTTCACCAATACAGAGGACCAATATAATTAAGCAAAGGTATAGCAAGATACTTTATAATTTCTTCATGTATACAGTTTGAAGACACATTATGTGAAGAAAAAAAAGATAGTTCAAGAGCCTATCTCTTAAATTGTTTTACAGCCAAATTTGCTTGCAAACTTTTTTAAATTTTAAATTTTTTTAATAAAATTTTAAATATTAATTTTAGCTATATATTTTCTAAGTAAAATATTTAATTTGAGATTTGTTTTATTAGCT